GTACATTTGCTGTCATGTTAAACTTATATTAAAGTTTTTCTTCATTACCCATTTAAGCCGTCTCCAGCCATTATTAGTCTCAAAGTGGGTTCCTCGTCATCGAAGTAGTAACGATACGTTACTGTTAGTTTAATTTGTTTGTTATCAATAATCAATTACAAAGCTACACGATGGGCTATCTGTGTTGTGCCCACCACATATATCATAACGCGGTTTTTAGCAGTGTGAGCCCACAGACTTGCCGCTAAGCCACTGCGGGGCATTTGTGCTGCGCCAATCACGGGTGTCGAAACCCGGGTTTTAGTGTTATAAGTCTGAAGACTTATCGCTGTGCACATTGGTGGCAATCAGTTCGAAGGTTGAGTAGATTTATAAAATATAATTTGAAGTTACTATAACTTACATCTTATCAAAATAAAGATTATAAATCATAAGACTTTTGAAGATTTAGAGGTACCTTACTTTTAACTAGACTAGCAGTAGTAGACTAACCTTGAGAACGTGTTATAATGTTATTATTTAAAAATCAGTTTCTTTTTGTTTTGTTCCATTAAGTAACCATTTATTTTATTTTGTTTTGCAGTTGCAATTAAAACTAGCATCATTATATTTTAACATTTAACTTTAATCATTATGATACGATCACCAGAAATAATTTCTTTAGTGACTATCTTTTTTCTTTCTTCTGTGATTCGGATTCGGCAGTATACTATAAGTTATAACTATATAACCTTCTAGTTAGGGTTCATTCAATCATTGTATATAGTCCTAGTAAAAAAGTAAAAGTAAGAACAAACAAGATGCCATGCAAACTAACCAGGAAACTAGAGGCTCTTTAATTAATTCACTTTTAATTTCATCTTCATAAAGGAGTGGCTGTTGATTCCCATAACCATTCTAGTACAGAGGATATAATGTACACTGTTACTAGGGCTATATACTAAAAATCAAATAATATAGTACTACTAGGTTTATAAATAATACTTATTGAGACTGAAGTAGCTAGTGTGGATTATCCTAAACTACTGCTAAAGCATTAGTTAAATGCTAAAAGTAATAAGTAAACCAGATGATTCTGATTCTGCAGCTGTACTGTCATTTTTGTAAGCACTTTTTACTATGTAATGTGGAGTGCATGACTGGTGTTACTTCAGTAATTTTAAATAATAATATGCATTCTTAAATACTTTGTGTTTTATTCTTTGGAATTTTTTTGCTATATAATGTCAAGTGGAACGTTTTTTGCATGCAGTACTAACGTTAACAGAAGTATCAGATAAACTTCAAATAATGTACTTAAACTTAAACTAATACTTAAATGATTTATGTATTTTTCAGTATAGTTGGTCATTAGTGGACTGTTTAGTTTTGCTGATTGGTGGCAACAGGTTGTCATGGCATTTGACAAGAACAATAATTACTTCAAAAACAGTCAGTCAGATGAATAAATGCGTATCATACACACAGAAGGCCACTGTTAACATGAGAAAAGAGACTCTTCTAAGGCCTGTCAGCTTTCACTTAAAAAGGTCAGCACCTGTCAATTCAAGCCAACAGATTAGTTTTAAAGCCACAATAACCAAAACATAAGAAAAAAGTATAATGCAAAGGTCAAAATATTTTCAATGAATAACAACACTTGTTTTAATGAATGATGAAATGGCCCAGTAATCTTCAGCAGGACAAAATAACAAATAATAAAAATAACCTCTAGTTCAAGCTGCTATAGCTGTAGAAAACCTGGATGAATGTGGTGGTTCTAGCTTTGGCTTGAAATCATATTACAAACTGCAAACTGTGTTATTACTCCCATACTCTCCAATGACCTGTGTCATTAAACAAGTACAATTAACAGATTCTGTTAATTGGACTTGTTTAATGATGCAAAACTAATGACCAAAGTTTCTTTCTCCATACATAACCAACATTCCAATAAACCATTTAGACATGCTTGAAGGATTATCTAGCAATTTGGCTAGATGTAAAAACAAAAAAAGACAAGTCCTTGGTCAAACCTTTGATCATGTGCAACACCCTCTAAGTGCAGGATTTGTGCAAGTAGTTACAAATTGTTTTTTCCCCCACTATGAGATACTAATTACTAACTGGTTTATATACTATATTTCAATTGCCAAACTGCTGCTATCTTAAGGAAGCCTGAGAGGAACAGGAAAGTACCATAATTTATAATTAGACTTAGGTTTTATATACTGTGAACTATAAACTATGACAGTGATTAATATCAAAACCTTAACATTTGTGCTTAAAGATGTTTTGTGTATCACACTTTTAATATACTCTACTTTAGTTTTCAGAGGGTTTTAAACTACTCGTATATCACTTGTAATATAGTTTTCAGAGGGTTTTAAACTACTTATGTATCACTTGTAATATATTTGAGTTTTCACAGGGTTTTGATGGCTGAAGGTATTTTGTTTTAGATTACTCAAATATCACTTGTACTCTGTCTTACTTTTCATTTTTTTTTACTAGTATGATTTGATTATTGCATATCAAACTTTTGTCCATAGTAAATATCTTTAGAATTACCTTTTATTTTTAGAAGAATATACATATTTTTCTCAGTACTTGAAGAACTTTAAATGTTTCTGAAACAAAGCTAGTTTTAAAGAAAGGAAACCAGTTTATGTAGGCTCTGCCTTTATTGAAAAGGTAAACATTCTTACTGAAAATTATTTTGTTCTTAGAATGAAAGTTCTTTAAAAGTAAAAACAAAATTAACTGAATCAAAGAGAAGATTTTGGCTTAAATTTTGCATGTCAATATGAAGTTTCACAGAATTTCTTAATTGTTAAAGTATTTCCATATTTGCAGATGGCTTCTGAATCTGTGGGAAAACTAACTCCAACTGCAGATAGACCACAAAGTAGAGACTCTGTTTTGTCTGATGTTCTGCCTATATCATTTCAGGTATGTTATTAAATGTAGCAAACAGATTCAAACCAAGGCTAAGTAGAAACTGTTTTACCAGTATCATTTTGAGTATTTTACTCAGTTTTTTGTTGTACCTAATTTTATTAGCTCCAATTACAGACAATCAACTACATAAAGATCACAAAGTAGAGACTGCTTTACCAGTATCATTGCTCTTGATATAGTAAGTTTTATCTGAGTCATATCACACATACAATGAAATTGGATATAAAAGAGACTAAACATGGTTTCACTTACTAATCTGTTACCTTTTTAAAGGATGTTACTTGTTTCTTTGCCCTGTAGTTTGGTAATATTCTTAATTTGTTTGAATCTCTGTCTCTGCCTGCCCATCATCTATCGTCACTTTCATTGGTAGTTTCATACTGTCCTGAACCATACCCTTCACCACTGTACCTCTTTTTTGTCCTTTGTTCACTGTCATTTGATTCCCATCTTCCTCTTCTACCTGGCATCATTCCTGTTGAGCTTGTTTGTGTTATTTCCATCATGTTAGGTCCTACAAGTGTCTGACTATCACAATTTGTGCACCTATGGTCACACTTTTGGTCCACCCTCAGAGTTTCTACTTTTTACCCTCGGGCTTCTCTACATTTCCCTTACTCCCCTTCATCCTTCATCTTGTTTCCTTTTGCTCTCATCTATGTCCCATATTTCTTCTTTGAGGCTGTGTTTGTCACCACTTTGAGCAACTCCTCACTCCCAATCATTATCTTATTCACTGTGGTGGTGTTATCAGCTCATTCTTGGCTGAGATCAGTCTCCTCTCATCTGCCTGCAATCAGTGGACCTTGCTGTCACTGATATTTGTGCCTATCATATTCATTTTGCATGTACAATTTCTTGTTTGGTGACCATAGCTTCAGGAAGACTACTTATACCTCTAGGTCACACTCATATGCACCTCTTCAGTTGCCCTCGCATAATCAGAGGAAAGCCTCATGGGATTCTTTGACCTCAGTGGTTCTCCTGTCTCTTCCTCTATTCTCATCTTTTTATGGGTGGCTGAACTCATTCCGTATCACCACCTGTGTTCCATTACTTCCTCCCACACTGAACCTACAACTCTTCACATATGCTTCTCGCTCTGGTTGGGTAGCATCCCTGACTGTGTATTTTCCATTCAGCACTTGGTCCCAGGATGAGTCCTCTCTCCATATTCATGCACTCGAATTTTTGGTAAACAGTTGAGTAGGATCCTATTCTTATCCCTTCTAGTGATTAATTTTGTTAATTTCATTCCAACTACTCCTTGGGTTTCCTCAATTAGACACCATTTGGTGATACATTCCAGAACCCCTTGCTTTCAAACTCTTTGGCCTGTTCTCATTGGGTTGGTTTCCCTGTTTGCCATGTATCTGATTCTATGCTCAAGGTTGCAGACTGCCACTCTTGGCCAGTCAGTGTTCTATTCACATAATTTATTTTCTCACTCAGTTTCCATTAGGGTGCTCCTTTGAGGAATCAACTCAATTTGCCTAGCCTACCTTCTCACTTATTTGCTTCATCTCTTCTGATCATCTGTTCTCCTTCCCTCGACCCTTGCTGTTACTGCTTTCTGCTGGGTCTGGTCTATTACTTGTTATAAGGCTCTCTCACCTTTTTTGGTCATTCCCTAGGGTCCTGGCCTTGACTTACTGACTCTCTTCGTCGTTTTCTCTTGGTGGTACCCAATGTCTGAATTGCCCATGGTTCTCTATTCTGTACCACCTGACTACCCAACCCTCTTCCATTGCCAGTTTTATGCTCTACTGCTTCACCATCTCCTATTTCCTTCCATCATGGGATCTTGTCCTTCCACCTTCATGTGGGTTTCATCTGGTCAATTGCTCTTGAACCTGACTTTCCCATCTGGTAATCCGTTTCTTTCCAGGCATCTTCATACATGGTCCTTCCACCCAAATAGGGGGGCATGGCTTTCAATATTGTTCCATCAGTTACTGCTTCCTCTTAATGGTTCTACCATCAGACATCCCCCTTCTCTTTTCCAGGCTGTTCTACAGGGTTCATCTGTCTCCGCTTGGTTGTTGGGCAGCCTTGCTCAATCCTAGTTGTCAGTGTGAGATTCTAGCTTTCTGTGAGAGAGAGGAGCTAGTGTGCAGAGAGGCTGTGTTGCTCTTATATTGATGCAGGGCTTTTGTTGCATAATAACATCATTAAGCAGTAGTGCAAATCACAATAAATCTCATGAGTTTAGGTGGTAGTTGCCTAAGAGTCAGGTGGCATGCAAATCTCTAAGGCAGACATATGGGGAAGATAGCTTTCTGTGTGAAAAGGTGTCTATTGGAAATATATTTTCAGGTAAGGAAAATATTAACTTTTGTAACACATTAACATATGTGGGAACCCATCAATAACTGTTTAAGAAAAGTATTTTGACACAGTGGTGGATAAGTCACTCAAGCCATTGAGACAGCACTATATTAGTTGTAGTAAAGCTAATAGAATTGTAAGATATACTTATATACATATTGATTACAACTGAAAAGAGTTAATTGTCTCTGTATACAAGTCACCAGTTAGATCTCGCTTGGAATCTTGTGTATTGTTTTGATCTCCTTATCTAGAAAAAGGTTAAAGCATATCAACATAATTATTGAAAGTGTTCCTAGGATGATTCCAAGGATAAAAAGGTTATATTTTAGGGCTTGGTTAAAATTTCTTATTTTCTCTTGAAAAAAGAAAGATAAGAATAAATCTCATTAAAGTATACAATATTATTTGAGTAATAATGGGACAGAGGCTACTTTAGCTCTTTGTGCAATATTATAACAAGAAGACAAACTTAGATTTGGAAAAGATAGACTAGGCTCCAGTTATATATATAGATCAAACCTGCTATAATGAATACATAACAGAAGAATATGAAGCCCAATCTGTCATTTTTTTAACTGGTTTCAGTGAATTCTGCGTGTCATCATTAACTCTGGATCAGAACAAATCAAATTAGGAAACCAGGCTTCTTATGGTGTTGTGGTTGTCTTTTATTCCTCTAGTATCTTAAAATGTCTACTGAATAATCCAGATGAATAAATAAGTAGCATCAATACCACATATCTTTTAAAATCTATATGAATATACATTTACTGTGGTGAATGAAATACAACCAAAGTACCATACACTGTAAGAAGTCTTCTTTTTCTGTGTGGCCTCGTTCAGGGTTACTCATGAAGGGTGAAATTCCTTGAAATTGTCAAACTCAGTGACAAGTTGTGAATTCATTGATAGACTAGGCTTCATGTTTTTTTGGGTTTTTTCGGGAATTTAAACAACTTGTATGTTCAATGGTCTAGAAGAATATAAATATAATCAGTAGTAGATATTCTCCAAAACCTATATATGTGCAATATGGTGAGTTAAAGACAAACAAAACAGAATATATGTGACAGAAGAAGTCTTAGGTTCTGAATAAGAAAGTGATAGAGCTGATATAATATTTAAAGTGAAAATGCAAAGTTTAAAATAACTTATTCTTGACATATACATTCAGACATTTGTGACATGTTTATATTTGTGTTTCTAGGAAAATTATGAAGAACTTTTGAGTTATGCTGTTTCATCAGTTCAGTCCCCAAAGACCATGCCAGGTAAACAATGTACTCAAAACTATTTAAATTTTTTTTTGTAAGTAATCCAGCATTACACACCATTTAACACTCTAGAAGTGGATAGGTCAAAGTACACGTCATGACGTTTTAACAGTTGCATTCAAAATTAAATTGCTTTATTACCAATATTTGTCAATCAATTTTACATCAAAGTGTAGTTTATAATTCCAGTTTTGATATATAAATTAAATTTTTAATTTCAAAAGGAAATATTTAATTAAATTTCCAGTCTTCACTTGCATTTATTGCATGACACTTCTTTGTTCTGAATAGCCCATTTTAGAATTTCTTTCCACCTTATATTATTTTCTAAGTTTCTGAGGACTTGCACACTAAAGTGAAAACTTATAATGTTATTTTTGCTTTAACCCTTTCGAGATTGGTTACGGGTGAAAGGCCATGTCATCTCGTTTGTTGACTCACATTCAAAATTTTATTGAACTATAATTTATGAATTTTTATCAGTAACTTTGGTATCAAACTGTAGATTATAATTCAAATTTTAGTATTATACATTACTCAATTTCTTAATTTAAAATTAAATACTAAAAACACAGATAAACATTGATTTTTGTGTGTCACATTGTACGTTGAATGCAGCACTGGTTCAAATTAAAAGTTGGTGAAGTCAAATAACAAGTCTATAGTTTTGTACGAATCAGAAACTCTAATTACCAATATTGACAATCTAGAATATAAAATAAGAACATCTTATCTTTTCTATTTGCTAAGATATTGCTCATGTAATAAATCAAACACAGTGGCACCCCGCCCACCTCTTTCCATTTTTAGAAATGTTCCGTTATATACACTTCCTTCTGTATATGACCTGAATAACCAATTGGAAGTTCAGAATGTCTCCCTGGTGGCTTTCTTAGCCATTTTAACAAGCTTGCAGGCCATTTCTTTCTTTCAAACCAATATTTCCATGAGGTAAGATGTGTCTTTAGTCTTATCAAAAGTTCATATTTTTTAAGACTACAATAAATCTTAGTTACTAAGCTTGGTAAATTTAGTGGGATTCTATGGTATTGATATACTTATTTATGATTTTTTAGTTACTCAAATGTATATATAAAACCTAAAAAATTATTTCGTTTCATATCTTCCA